CCCCTCTGCTGTTGTTTTGTTCTCTCCTGTTTTCTGGAATGTGCCCTCTCTGCTTCACACTGTCTAATATTTCTCTGTTTAAACGTGTCTTTACCCTATTCTGCCATCTAGATTCTCCAATAAGTAAAATCTTAAAAGAAAAATACAGGATATGGAAAATAGTTCACTGACCTGGAAGAATCTATAAAACTAGCAGAGATCTCAGAGTCAAATTTTGAATGCACACCAAGGAAAACTTAATTTGATCATTTGAACATGCTTTTTTAAAAAAAAATTCTTTTTTTTTTTTAAATTTAGAAGAGCTACAGAGAAAGAGGGAGAGACACAGAGTGAGAAAGACAGAGATCCTTCATCGCTATTGTACACCCCAAATGGCTGCAGTGGCCAGGGCTGAGCCAGGCCAGAACTAACACCCGCGAATGTCAGACTGGTCTCCCATGTGTGTGCATGGACACAAACACTTGGATCATCCCCTGGCTAAAATCCCTGGCCATTAGCAGAGAATTGGCCCAGAAGTAGCCACATCTTGAACCAGCATCCATTTGGGGATGCTAATATCATATCACATAACGTTGGCCTGAGACACTTATCACAATACTTTTAAAGCCAACTTTCAATTGTGAAATATAAATTACTAATTTCATGATTTGTTTTATAAGTATACTGTGTCAGTAACAATTAAAATTAATTTGCTGCTTGGTTGCCAATTCTTATAAATTAAAAATCAAATATTTTTGATGGAAAGATAACCTTCCAGAAATAATAATAGAATGTCAGCTTCTTCATTTTTCTTGTATCTAGAATTATGTTTTCCACGGTTCTAAGGTTCTAAAATCTTTGTAATACTATACCCTGAAAACTTCTGAAAGCAAATAATCACATCAGAGAAATTAAGTTCTCCTAAAGTCATATGAATATTTTAGGCCTGGCGCAGTTCCCTAGTGGCTAAAGTTCTTGCCTTACCTGTACCGGGATCCCATATGGGCCAGTTCTTATCCTGGATGCTCAGCTTCTCTTCCAGCCTCCTGCTTGTGGCGTGGAAAAGCAGTCAAGGAGAGCCCAAAGCCTTGGGACACTGCACTTGTGTAGGAGACCCAGAAGAGGTTCTTGGCTCCTAGGTTTGGGTTGGCTCAACTCTGGCCTTTGTGGCTACTTGGGGAATGAACCAGTGGATGGAAGATCTTTCTCTGTTTGTCTTTGTAAATCTGACCTTCCAGTGGGAAAAAAAAAGTTATGTGAATATTTTGAATCCTATTAAGAAGAAAAAATTGCCTTCAACTTATCTGTCGTTAACACTTTTCCACTTGTTAGCTTTGTCTCCATGTTAATTTAAGTTGTAAATACTTTCTAAATTTGGAAACTTTCAAATTGTATCTCATTTTTAGCGAGTTGCATCTCATTTTTAATGTGTTTCCCAGTCTTTGTATTTTGAAATACTTAAATAGACAAGCCAGGATGTATGTCTCAAGCGGAATGAGATATCATCATTGCAGCTTTGTGCAGATTTATAGAGAGAAGGAGCTATGTAAGAGTATCTTATCCTCCGGTTAACTCCCCATGTGGCCATAACTGTCATAGTAGGGCCAGGCTGAAGCCAGGAACCAGCAGCTTCTTCTGACTCTCTCAAGTGAATGCATGAAATGGATCAGAAGTGGAGCAGTCAAGAAAGTGATGGAGGCCACAAATGAACCGATTATTCCACAGGCCTGCCTCTACCACTTGACTTACTTCACAGGGCAGGATGTTTGATTTTAATCCTCATTTCTGTAGTCCCTCCAGACTCTATGCATGCATTTGAAAATATACTGAAATAGTTTTAATTGAGGAGCTTTACATTAATAAAGCTAAAGAGTATTAAAGAATGAGCACTTTCATATTCCTTGAGATTTTTGTTGTTAGGATTTTATTTTTATTATTTTTTCTAGTGGTTATCATGATGGACAAGGAAAAGAAAGCCATTTTATTTGTGTTTTGGCTACCCCACACTGTTCATCTCGCCACATCTTCATTGTATCTATGGCTAGATTTTATTGTACCATGCCATGAGGAGGAAAATGAGAATTAAAGACAATGGAGACAGGATTTATCTAACTTCGTATCTTCTATATTTCTAGTAAACCAGGCTGTGCAGTAAATGCTGCCTTTCCATTTAATTTTTATACTTGATATTTTTAGAAACAGATTTCTAAATAAATTGCTTATTAACTAGTGCTCCTTTGAAATAGGAATGACAAGTGAATAATGAGTGAGTTCCTCATGGACTCATGGTGTGTGTGTGTGTGTGTGTGTGTGTGTGTGTGCGTGTTGGAGGGGTTTCTCATTGCTTAGCCACATAACTTTCACTTGGGTAGTGAAGCAGTATATATTACTCCATTACATAAAGGGTGAGCCAAGCAAAAACAAACTTATATAAAGGAATCATGTATAAACCAGTCATGCTTATTGGACTTAATCAAGTGCAGAATGTTTTACATAGTAAAGCAAAAATCTGAAAATAAACCCAGACAGCTTTGGTGGGTTTATTAAAATATAAAGAATGTCCAGTGCAGTTTATTATTGTGAAAATTATATTGCCAAGATTTGAGAGTAAACACTCAAAGTCTAAATAGCTATCTTTTTGTTGAGAAAAAGAGAGATTAACATTCTAAGAAACTGCTAAAACTTGACTTTTTGTCATTAAGGATCATGTTAGATTAGTCATTTTTTCCCTAAACTATTTACAATTATTATTGTTATTTTCCATGATACAGCTTTCTAGATATAGGGATTCCTCCCTTCCCCTCCTTCTCCATTCCCCCCGCCAAACATTTTCCCTCATAGTATTACAGTAATATAGTCCTTCAGCTACAGTTACAATTCCAACTTTCTGCTCTTTAAGTATATCATGGTATTATAAGTATAGGCAGTGGAAAACAGTCTGGTATTAAATTGTCGAGGTGTATTTAGCAGTTTCATTAAGAGTCCTTTTTTCTACAGTAGATGCGCACACTGCAGTGTTTCCTCACTTCCTGCTACGCCAGTCTCCAGGTCATTTATAAGAGCATATGTCTATACTTATTTACCTACACACCTGTTTGTTTTGTGTTTTGTATGAAGGGTGCCTGCCTTATATCAGAGAATGCAGGGTATCTGTCCTTTTGATACTGACTTATTTCACTGAGCATAATGGTCTTCATTTTTGATGGAAGGAAAAACAGTGAATTTTGGAAAAGGTAGTTTTTATATTGAAAATGATTAGTGGGCCTGGCAGCGTGGCCTAGTGGCTAAAGTCCTCGCTTTGAACATGCCGGGATCCCATATGGGCCCAGTTCTAATCCCAGCAGCTCCACTCCCATCCAGCTCCCTGCTTGTGGCCTGGGAAAGCAGTTGAGGACGGCCCAAAGCCTTGGGACCCTGCACTTTTGTTGGAGACCTGGAAGAAGTTCCTGGAACCTGGCTTCGAATTGGCATAGCTCTGGCCATTGCGCTCACTTGGGGAGTGAATCAATGGACGGAAGATCATCCTCTCTGTCTCTCCTCTCTGTATATCTGACTTTGTAATAATAAAAATAAATAAATCTTAAAAAAAGGAAATGATTAGTTAGCTATTCTCTTTTACTTCTTAATATAATTTACTATTAAATATAATTTAGACTTGTTATTTGGAAGTAGACTTCTATATCTTCTACTGTACGCTTGATTAGAGAGATTTTACTGTCCCATTCTGTAATCCCAGAGTCAATATGTTTGAGATTGTTTCACTGTTATGATACTGTGAGCAAATCGGTTACAACTCCTGATGAATCCCATCAAGAATACGTAATATTTGAACAGTTTTATCCAAAGACCAAATACTTCACTTAATTAGAAAATGATATGAAACATCTTAGTATCCCTCTTTCTTTTTCTTGCTGATAAATTGTGAATGATTTTTGTGCCAGTGTGTTTAGAAAAACACACTTGATTTTTTGTCTGTAGGGGAATATCTTTCATTTGAACATAGGCTTCAACCGTCTTGATGATAGACAAGATTCTTTGGTTTCCACAGCAATAAAGCAGTTAAATCTTCATTTTTTAAAATTTATTTTTACTATCTGATAACATACAGGAAACCATTTTAGTTGTTTTCATTAATGTGTATTTTATGTAGGTATCAATATTTGTACTTTAATATTAATTTCTGAGACAAGAGAAGGATAATAGTGTTTCTGAATTAGTTTCTCTTGCCAATTTTTGTTGATAATTTGAGATTTACAATTCAGCTTTCTTCTGAGGATTTTTGATGATTGCACACACCCTGCTATATAAAAATGTGAACTAATATTTTTTAGAATTATTGATTGCCAAATGCACTTTCTATTCTTATTTCTTTTATGCTGCCGCTCACATTGAAATTCAAGCACAGTATATTTAGATCTTTACTCTTTTAGTCTTAGAAAGTGTGTCTTGCAAAGATCACACATCAGTATTATTCTGGTGTTCTGAAAGTCAAGTCTCTATTGAATCAATGGTAAGTGGGATGATTCTAAAACATTGCTTACTTATGACTTCATGTTTACATATTTATTTGAGCACCTGTTCTCCTTTGAGCTCTATGTTTGTAGACACTTATCCTCTGACTTGATAAATTCATGCTTTTTTCTATCATTCTCTATATATAGATATATTGAAGGTGCATCTCTATCAACATTTGATTTAAACTCTTTTTCATCTAGATGAGCTCTGTATCTAAATTGTCACTATATGGCGCTAGCCATACCAGGTTGATCTCTTAACTGATTTCTTATCTTTTTGATTCATTGCTGCTACTTATCTTGCATCCCTTATTGATTATTGAATGGCATGTTTATTTCTCAGGTTCTTTTTTTCATGGCATTTTTTAATTGATATAGATGTCATTGTTTTTCATACAGACTGATCTAGCTTCTGAGTTTTATAAATTACTACACGTGGGCATTTCTAGACTCTGAAGTTCTAGATGTTCCCAAATCTTTTGAATTTTCTCTTATTTCTCTTACTAGGGTGCAGCGTAGATGCCAATGCCAAGCAAGTTGAGGAACAGCCTTCTGCAGCCACAAATGAAGAAGCACTTTTTCCTTTCTGTAGGGAACCAAGTTATTTTGAAATTCCTACAAAAGAGTTCCAGCAACTATCACAAATAACAGAGAGCACTATTCATGAGATTCCAACAAAAGACACGTCAAGTCCTCATACAGCAGGTGCAGGGCATGCTTCATTTACCATTGAATTTGATGACAGTACCCCAGGAAAGGTAACCATTAGAGACCATGTGACAAAATTTGCTTCTGATCAACGCCACAAGTCAAAGAAATCTTCCCCTGGGACTCAAGACTTGCCGGGAATTCAAACAGGAATGATGGCACCGGAAAACAAAGTAGCTGACTGGCTAGCACAAAACAACCCTCCACAAATGGTATGGGAAAGAACAGAAGAGGATTCAAAAAGTATTAAAAGTGATGTTCCAGTATACTTGAAAAGGTTGAAAGGTAAAGTGAATTGATCATTTCAGAAATTTGGAAAAACAAAATTCTGATTTTTATACCAAACAACCATTTGATAATTACTGATCATTTCAGAACTTCCTATTTTAGAAAAAGTAAAATTTGATCTCTGTAGTAAACAACTTTCAGCAATTATGTCGTAGAAAATTTCTTCTCTTTTCAAGTTTATATTTAGCCATAAACCACAACTGTAACATTGCCCTGGCCAATTTGCTCATTATTTGTCTTTTTTTTTTTCAAATATATATATATATATTTGTCTTGTGGCATTATAAAATGTTATCAGTTCACCAGTGGAATTTCCTAGAAGACAGTTCCCATCATTTTCTTAATTTAAGAAAAGATATGTTGGATTCTGTTCTTCAGTATGATGCTTCCAGTAAAATATCAATATCTAAATTTTGGAATAAATTTTAAAACATTTGGTATGGGCCAAAAGTTCCATGTAGGCACAAGATATGATTAATTTAGTACTTCGAACTATTTCCAGGTGGTTTTTCACAGAACAAATATTTTTGGTTTAGAAATATTTGCTAATAATCTATTAATCTTGGAATTTTGTAAGGTTTATGAAAACCAATTGAATGTTCATTTATGAAATATGTATGCTTTTAAAAATAAAAAGATTATTTATTTGAAAGGCAGGAAATAGATGTTTCATCTGCTAGTTCAGTTCCCAAATGGCAATAATAGGCTGGAACTTGGTGAAGCTAAAGCCAGTAGCCAGGATCTCCATCCAGGTCTATCATATGGATGGCAGGGACTCATGTACTTGAGCTAAGGTGCTGGTGTCCCAAGTGGTGTCTTAACTTACTGTGACATAACACCTGCCCCCACATATTGTAGTACATGGTCAGAATGAGTACTTTGTACAGTGAAATAGCAGATAACCTTTTTTTCCCCTGTTGGCTTCATTTTAAAATTAATTGGGCACAAATTGCTTTTCTCTTTATTTAATAATATCCATAGGAGAAGCAAATTGCTATTGTGCTAATCTCATCATCCTGTTGCTTTATTGGGAGTTAACGGACTTTGAGAAAAGTGCTGTCTGTTGCATCCTTAGCACTTCACCGGAGCTTGAGCAGTTGTCAAGCACTCAGTGATTTGAATAGCACAATGTATGCTTTACTTTCAGTGAGCAGAGTGTCCTGGAATTCTAACCAAGTAATGAAGACCTCATAATAGTCTTGTACTCATTTCTTGTTTACTAATAAGATAAATAGAGATTAATCTCTGAATACTGAGATAATGCTATTGTCTGTTTGTTGGCACCTGTTGTAATGTTATTGTCATCAGCAATTGACCTGCATTTGAACCTTTGGTAACTTCTTGTGACTTTTTAATTCTACCATACAATAATAACACAAAATTGACATCTGGATATATGTGTCTAGACTAAAGCCTACTTTACAAAGTGATCATTTATGAGAGTTGAGTAAATAATATTGACATTCTAGCATAAGAGGTCATGTAGATTGAAAATTTAGCAAAAGCTAGTCCTTTTTAAACAACTCTTAATAAAAGCTCCAGAAAGGAGTCAAAATATGCTTTTAAAGATGTTATTGAAAAATACCTTTACCTACTAAAACATTTATATTGTTTTATTTTATATTACAAATACTTTTGAAATCATGCCTGTTTTCCATGTTAGCTGTTTCTTTTAAGATATCATTTTCAAACAGTCTCTACTCTTGAAGTAGGCCTATTTGCTGGTCTAATTCCAACTAGAAAGATACTAATGTTGAAGAACTTGCTGTTTCTGTGTATTGATGATTAGATGAAATGATTAGATAAGTGATGATTAGATAATGTAATTTCAGAAATTTCATCATGAGATAGTATTCTTCAAAACTGATTTACATGTGAGCTGATATTCCAGTTTTTTTGATTACCGAGACCTTTCTTTACTATTTTATTGTAGACCATGTAAGAAACCATCCAACAAAATGGTTTTGTGGCCAAAATTTTTAATACAAGATAGATTAATTTGATTTTTGAATAATATTTGTAAGTGATGTTTGACTTTTTATAAAAGACTGCCACCATTATGTAATGATTTTCCACAACTCAGGACGTAAAAAGTATACACTGAACCACTAAATAAATGTAGTTATAGTAATTAGTAGCAATTTTATTAAAAATTAAGACTTCCAGCAACTGTTTAATTAGCCAAAGAATTGAAAATAGGCAAAACAGAAACAAAAAAATACTTGCTCCTACAAGAGTAAAGTGCACGTGCTTTGGGACAGTGAGGAAAATATTGTTCACAAAGCCCATACACTTTTACCCTTTGGGAGAGTTGCACCTTCTTTTGGCAGTTAGTACTGACTTGGTACAACTAATCTGCCCTAAAACATTATTAAAAGAATGTGAGCATATTTAGACATAGTTAACGATAGGCAAAAGGAACAGTGAGGAAAGTTTATTAGGGACTTTTTTTTTTAAGTAAAAACAAAATTGTAGAGCATATGTCTTGCCTTGTGCACCATGGAGAAATACAAGAAGCAATAATAATTTTGTAAAACAAAATAGCCAGTCTGTGAAGAGATTTTAATTAGATAGTGTGTATAGATAACTTGAAAAGGTCTGACACCATCAAGTGTAAAATTTTATCTGTTGAAGCAAGAAATGAATTCTGTACTGGTGATATATTGTTTTAAATATTTGAGTATATTTTGACATGGGTTATTTGTCCTTGTCATGCAGGAAACATTGCAATTTATTTATAGCCCTTGCAAACTGGACTCATCTTTAATAAATTTTTAAAAAATGAATTAAATAGGTTGTAAAATGTAGTGTCTAAGAAATCTTATTTTTGTACCAGTGATTTTGTTTGGTTTTCTATGTTACTATCCATGATTCCTGGCTTAATTAACTGAATAAGGAATTCTGTTAAAACTTGTGTTTTTGTTTGCTGATTGCATTATCCACAATTAATCGTTTGAGGAAAGATTTTTTTAAAACTCTTGTTTGTGTCTATCTTATAATATTGCTATCATTTTAATGGAAGTGTTCCCCTACCACTGTTCATGTTGTTCTTATTCACTCCCTTTGTGTACCTGCATACTTTTCCAGAATGTCATCCTTTCCTGTGTGTTATGCCATTCTCACTTCTGAGTCTTATTCCTTTCATATTCTTATTTTTTTGCTACTTTTTATTTATTTGTTTATTAGAAACAGAGAGAGAAAGAAAGGGAGCATTCTCACCTTTTGGATTCTTCCCCAAATACCAATAACAAAACAGGGAGCCAGAACTTCAGTTGAGGTGTCCCATATGGATGGCAGGGACCCACCCACTTGAGCCATCTAATTCAAAAAGTTAGTGATGCTAACTTCTAAGGTGTGCCTTGTTAAGAAACTGGAATTGGGATCAAAGCCAAGTATTCTTGAATAGGACAAAGACAACCAAGGAGTGGATCAAATGCCAGCTTCTATGTACAACTGTTAGGTGACCTCTAAATACATTAGGAACAAAGCAATGAACATTGAAATCATCTTTCCCCCTAGACATATATGTCTTTTGCTCCTCTTCCCCATATCCAGCAGTTTTGATCATCATCTTGCTCAAAATTACATTATCCCACAGGTGTTCACATTAAAATTCTTTGCTCTGTGAAGTTGAAAAAAGATTAATTTGTTTCTAGAAGTATCAGAATGTACCAGTCTACTTTTCAGTACACTAGATTCATGTATTGCTTCTAAAGAAGCATAATATAAAGTGATTTGTAATTTCATCTAAGACTTAGAGTAACTATAATTTTCCAATAATTTCATGTTGTAATCACGCAGTTATAGTAAAAAAATTTTTCATATTTTTATATTTAGAAAGTTACAGAAATGGAGGAGTGATAGATACCGAGAGACAGACAGGCAGACAGATCTTCCATCTCCTGGTTTATTCTCCAGATGGCCAAAAGGCCAGCACTGGGCCTGACCAGGAGCCAGGAGTTTCATCTTGGTCTCCCATATGGATGGTAGGGACCCAAGCACTTGAATTGTCTTTTACTGCTTTTCTGAGGCCATCAATAGGGCGCTGTATCCCAAGTGGAACAGCCAGAATGTAAACTGGGACTCATAGGACACCCGTGTTACAGGTAGTGGTTTTACCCGCTATACCAATCAATGATGCCTAGTGAAAATTTTAAATTAGTGAAAAACAGGTAGTTTTTTGGGGGGATGTATCACACTCAGCTCCTAAGTGTTTTTCACTCATTGGTTTTTAACTTGCTTGGAGAAAAAGCTTTGTTTGGAAGCCGTTGTTTCAAAATTGACTTGACCCCATATGCTTTTTGGAGAAGACCTCTGGTTATATTTGACACCATATTTTTGCTGAAGAGGTTCTAGATTTATGTAAAGATTTGATACTTGATAAGTCTCTTAACATCCTTTAATGACCTTCTGAAGCCACAAGAATTTAGAGCACAAGTACAATTTTCAGGCATTCTCAGAGTAACATATAGAAAAAAAATGTGTAGTCATTGGTGGTAATTAGAATTTCAGTCTTTTTATAAAGAAAGAATTTCTAACTTTTGAAAGTACTGAACATCCTTTAAAGTTGAGATGCATTACATTTTTGTATTTGTTTTTTCTTTGTAATCATCACTACCTTATTACTATTGCCCATTTTATTTTTCTTTCTGATGTCAGAGTCAAGTTCTTAATTGTTTGAAAAAAGGTAGGGGGTTTGAAAGTAAATTTAGTGTTCATTAGTGTTTTGAAGACAAACTGTTACAGGTGATAAAGTATGTCTTAAGTGTTGCATTGATTGACCATCCTTTTAAAGTTAAAATTTGAAGAAAGCAAGCAAGCCCTATTCGCTTATTTATAAAGGGCTCATTGTTGACTGGTAAAATTTGAATGAGAACCATTGCAATTGAGGGCAGTTTGCTGAGCCTGTTACTGAAAAGAACATATGACTTTGGTTTGAAAAGGAGGATGGAGTCAAAAACAAATGGCACTTTTGTATATGCTTCTGATTTCCTACCTAGGGTTCTTTTCTTCTCTGTTATGTAATTTCCTTTTTTTGTGTCCAGGAAATAAACATGATGATGGTACACAGAGCGATTCAGAGAATGCCGGTGCTCACAGGCGCTGTAGCAAACGAGCAACTCTTGAGGAGCATTTAAGGCGCCACCATTCTGAACAGAAAAAGTTGCAGAAGGTTCAGGCCGCTGAAAAGCATCAAGACCAAGCTGTTGTAAGTCAAACTGCTTTTATGATTGCGTTCTTTGATGAAGACAATCCCAAAAAAAGAAGGTCATATTCTTTCACTCAAAGTACGGGAGTCTCGAATCAGGAAACTGCAAATTCACTACCACATACAAAATTTGAAAAAGCAAAGTCTCCAACAGCAGATGCCAAAGTGGTTTCTTTGTCTTTACAGACTAGCTCTGCGCATCACAGAGGGGGGCATGGTGTTCCACATGGGAAATTGTTAAAACAGAAATCAGAGGAGCCATCGGTGTCAATACCCTTCCTACAAACTGCATTATTAAGAAGTTCAGGGAGTCTTGGGCACAGACCAAGCCAGGAGATGGATAAAGTGTTAAAAAATCAAGCCACTTCTGCCACTTCTGAAAAGGATAATGATGATGACCAAAGTGACAAGGGTACTTATACCATTGAGTTAGAGAATCCCAACAGTGAGGAAGTGGAAGCAAGAAAAATGATTGACAAGGTAAATAATTGAAATTTGGACATGATGTTAGTTGTTGTGTGGTATGTTTGACTGTGGAAAATTAATAGGGAGTCAACCTGAAATGTTCTGTTGTAGCCAGTAATACTAGAACATTTAGGGTTTTGTTAGAGAACTGTAAGACTAACAATAAGACCAAAATGCTTTTATTTTACTGTTTTCTGAACTTGCCTAAGTTTTGTTTCAGCTGTGCTGTGCATTTAAAGTGTTTGGCCCTTATAAAGTGTGTAAATTTGCAATGGACTTTATAGCAGTAGTATACTTTGGGCATTTTTACTTTGCACTCATTTATAAACAAAAGTAAATAAGTAAAAAATTAAAATTCATACAAATTGTTATTAACATAAATATAAATGTTAGTTGTTAATAGTTAACTGTAAGTTTCCTGCCTACTGGCTTCATGTTGGAAGCAGATGAAAATTCTATACCTATAAAACAATATCATGGAATATAATAATGACAAAAAAATACAAAAAAATTGCAGAAAGTAATGTTAAAAATATACACATTTTAGTTAATTTTGTTCTTGGTTCAAATTTTCTTAATTTCTTATTCTCTGATGTCTTTGATTAAAAAGTAAAGCATGAAAAGGAAATCAGGGTTTTTATGTTTATAAATCATGATAAATTATACTTTGCATGAGTTCTTTCATGTTATTGATGAATATATATGATGATGATCATGGTAATGACAAGTTGACTTCAGGATCACTCTTTTGTACTTCCTGGGAAATAATAGCAAAAATTTTACTAAACATTATTCTTTTTAAAAAACCTGCAACTACTTAAATACGCCCCATGGAAGCAGCATTAACATTACTCTGTTGCATCTTAGAAGTAGATTCTCAGGCTACCCCAAGTGTGCTCAGTCAGAATCTGCATTAAAAAGATATCAAGGTGATTTCTATGCACATTAGCATTTGAGATGCACATCTAAATGATGAGTTTTCAGATCATCTCTGAGTGAGCAGGATAACCCTTTGAGTTGCAGGGAAAATTTTAGGACTTATGTTAGCTTTTAATTTCCTACATTTTAATTTTTTTTGAGAGTATGTACTATGGTGCAGACAACTGATTACTACTTTGATACATATATGCAGCATCTAATATATACGCGTTGAGGAGTACATGTTTAAAATCTTTTGTTTTTGGAATATACAACTCCATACCTTTGGAGACCAATTTGTCTAGTTGTGAATAAGAGAAATATAGGATTTGAGAAACATTATTTCATTCATAGTAATTGAGCTTTTTCATTATAAGATTATTTTTATAAAGAGGGATTATATATATTGCAATAATTAAGAAAAGGGATAGGGAATTATGTATGAGCTCTGTAAAATTCTTAGGTAAATTAACCTTTTTAAACCTGTTTTTTAATCTGTAAAATGGATGAACTTGCTAGATAATTAAGTTCATTAAAAGCTATAAAAGGCTTACCATAGTGCCTATTTTAAGAGCTCTATAAATGTTTGCTGTTTAATACCCTTACTAGGAGTTTCCACATCTGCATCTTTATACAAATTACTGACATGTCCTAGAAAGTACTTGCATCATTGAAAGGGTCAAATATGAAGCTTAGTGGGTGATACAGTGCAAGGGACTAGACCTTCAGGACACAGAAAACTGAGAAAGAAGTCACTGTCGCAGATGAGGCTTCTTCAGGCACTACTGGATACATAAAAAGTGATCACAAAACCATAACTGTCTGTAATTACTGGGAACATTGCTTTTTCCTTAAAGAGAGCCCCAGTTTTGACAACAACTTGTGTGGTCACACTATGCACAGAGAAACCCAAGATTTTAGAGCAGGATTCACTGAATAATGGTGGTGTATCTCATTCCTGCTTTATATAAACCAGAAAAACAAAGCTTCGGTCATATTGCAGGGAAGACGTGGTCCTCTACATAGTCTTGTGACTACTAGAAAAAAAGAACTTAGATTCTGTTTTCTGTGGTTAGAGCTGGAAGTCAGATTCAGACTATTTGACGCCAGGCTGTGGAGAAACAAAAGCAGGGCTCCAGGAATCAGGTGTCTGTAACCCCTAGGTATGGAGAAAACAAAGGCCAAGCATAGCTAGAATGAAAGCATCAAAAGCACTTGGGGAAGATGGGTAATCATTCAGGCACCATATCAAATTGCCTGGATGAACTCAAGTCATCCATCTTCTCACTTGTGGAATTTTATTGCATAGAAGTGAGAGCCATCAACAGTTGTCATCTTGAATTTGAATATTCTTTGGTCCTGAAAACTTGCATGTTGTCTCACTGCTTTCATTCCATCATTTGAGAGCTGTTTTATGTGATTGATCATACATTTTACCTTCACTATTGACTGTACCAAGCTTTATGTTAGGGTGGAGTCACTCAAATTGAAAAGACTGAATTCTTTCCCTCAAGAAGTAAATATGTAATGGTATATGAATATACAAGAGGAAACCAATAAATTAAAAAATCATATCGTTGAATGTTTTAATAGGCTTCTGTCACTGGAGGAAAGGCACCAATGGTTTCTAAGATATTGGTTTGTTAATGTCCCTGCCTGAGACAAGTCTTTAGACATTCAAATCTAGAGAAACCCCCAGATGCTTTCATCAGCTTGTTTAATTTTCAGCAAAAGCTTTATCACTTCTTTACCATTATGTATTGATTTACCTCCTCTTCCCTAACCCCCCCAAAAAGACAGACACAGACACAGTGCACTTACATATGCAGATGAAACTCACATGAATGCAGTGATGCAGTGTCAGCATATAAAATGTCCTCAGTAAGGACTGAATTAAATTGCCGAAAGCTAAATTTGGAAACATACATAATCATACACAAAGTAGGCTTGATATTTAGTGTTTTCCAAAAAATATGGAATAATCCACTCAAGTGTATAGGTGGGATTAGACTAGATTTTATGTGGTTGTGTGTCATAGAACTAAGGACTTTAGATTTTTTTCCATATTGAATGCAGTGAGAACCATTGAACACGTTTAAGCAAGGTGATGGCATGGTCAAATTCTAGCTGTCATTGGAAGTGTGGACTGAAAGTTGCAATGGCCAGAAACAAGGAAGGTAATTTAAAAGCTGATATTATGCAGTAAAATACCGGATTTTATTCAAACCAAAAATACAGATTTGGGGGTTAGTGGAGATTTAGAGGGTAATTAAATTATGCAAAATATGAGAATATATATAGTGAAAAGAGAAAAATTATATTTTTAGCAACACTAACAGTGATGGACAGTGGAACAAAGGAAACTGCAAAGTATCAGAAGAATAAAGAGAAATCAAAGAAAAACAGTGTCTCAGAATCAAAAACAGAGCCAAAAAGAAGTAAACAACTATTGCGCATGAACACACTGATATTAACTAGGATAAACATTGAATATCTTTTCAGTTTTTTTCTGAAAGTACATGTGTTCCTAGGACCAGTGACGATGACTAGAATGCATTTTTTGCATATTTCCTGTAGAGAAGTTTTATTAAAGTAAAATGGGAACCCCTTTAAAGAGATGATCAAGCTGAAATATCAACTTTATTTTCTGTTCTTGGTAGCAGCTAAAAGATACTGAGGAAAAAAAAAAGACACTGAGGCATCTTTTTTTTCCCAGTCTTTAACTTATAGAACAGTAGCATTTTGGTTTATATTTTTCTGTTGTGTCTATCAATAGATAAACCTTTTTGTATGAGTGTCCCCAAATTTACTATTTATAATAGCAGTTTTAAAATCCTGTTAAGTTTTATATAGAAGCCTAAAAGAAAAGGATTTTAACAAGAAAGTACTGCAGCAAGCATGTGGTATAGCAGGCTAAGTTGCTTTTTAAGATGCTTAAATTCAAAGTAGAGGCTGGACTCCTCAGCTTCTAATGCCAATTTTCTGCTAATGCACCTCCTTGGAGACCCTCAGATGATGTCTTAAGCCCCAGACACTAATGAGGTAGACTGGAAGGATGCGTTTCATGAAAATAGTTTTAAAAATCTAAAGGAGGAAATGCTGTTGAGTCCCTGGATTAAAGACAGTTATCTTCTATGATAAAAATAATCCTCAGTCTGCCTTCCCCCTCTCAAAACTTTATATTTAGCTTTCCAGAGAGACCATCACATTTTGAGTTTCCTCTCTTTACTCCTCAATCCAAATGGCTGCCAAGAGGAGGATCCTGACAGAGCTACTTCTTAGCCTTCTTGGCTGAGTGAGTAAGACACACAGCTAAATCCTAAATGGATGAGAAAAATACACTCTAGAAGGCTTGAGATACTATCTTTTTTTTTTTTTTTTAGAGATTTATTTATTTTTGGAAAGTCAGATATACAAAGTGGAGGAGAGACAGAGAGGATGATCTTCCGTCTAATGATTCACTCCCCAAGTGAGCGCAATGGCCGATGCTATGCCGATCCAAAGCCAGGAGCCAGGGACTTCTGGGTATCCCACACAGGTGCAGGGTCCCAAAGCTTTGGCCCATCCTCGACTGCTTTCCCAGGCCACAAGCAGGGAGCTGGATGGGAAGTGGAGCTGCCGGGATTAAAACTGGTGCCCATATGGGATCCCGGCATGTTCAAGGCGAGGACTTTAGCCGCTAGGCCACTCCGCCAGGCCGAGAGATACTATCCTTTTAAAAGAAATAATCTCTTCCCCATACATTTCATGTTATGGAAGAGTTCACCAGATACTTCTTTCTTGAATTTTGACTCTTGTCTATTGTGGCAACTTAACTTCCCTGCTCAAATACCTCTTGTTAGTATATTCTGTTTCCTCACAGGCCCTGGTCATTGCTGATGCTGTAGGCAACAGGTAGTTGGAAAGAACCCAGACTCGGGAGAACAATAACAGGAGTAGAAAAACATCTTACAGCAGTGAATAGAGCAGTTTAAAAAACAAAAAGTGCTGGAAGCCTAAATCTAAACTGTAAAGGTCACAGCAACATTTTAGATTAAATCCATATCAGAACCAAGGGAATCATGATAAGCCACAGACAAAATCCATGGCGACAGTAC